AGATGAGCGTTGAAAAAAAAAAAAAAAAATTGCGTTCTGCGCTTCATTGTGTTTCTGTTTCTTCAAAAAAAAAAAAAAAACTGAGTTTATTTGTTATTTTTTAGCGGCTGACGAAGTTGCGTGTATACAATCTGAAATACTTAAACGGTGACCAAGCAAGGCAACTGCGCGCACTCTATCGTCCAGGCGGTGCGTCTCTTGGACGGCCGAGGTCGTCTTATCTTTCTGTCGCCTTGGTCGTCCAGCGCATAAGAGAGCGTTGCCTTGGGATCCAGCCTCCGAGGCCGACGTCTCGCTGGGCCCGGTCTTCCCGGGAGCAAGAAGCGAGCCCACCGCTCCAAATGCAGATATCAGTCCCTGCCGCCATTTGGAGTTTCCCGCCACCGGACGCTAACGGCGAGCGCGATTAGGCGCTGGTTTCGAAGGAGGACCGCTCGCTCCCGGGCCCTGATGGGGGCCTATAATTTTCCGAGCGGGGCTCCTAAGTAGGAAGGCTCCCTCCTCGGTGCGGCCGGGAATGGTGACGCTCCCTTGCCTCTAATTAGGGCCCGGAATCCTGCCGTCCGTCCGCCTTGCGCCACGGGTCGTCTGCCTCTCCCCCCCTGCAGTCGCCGCCCAGCGGCGCTGTCCACCGGCGGACACGGCGGAAGGGCCCGTCGAAACCGTTTCCGTCGTCTCTTCTCCCTTCGTTAAAAAAACTAATTGTGTTTCATCGCCGGAGCAATTGCGCACGCCGTACTTCACCCGGTCGGTGCCGTGTTCTGTCCGGTATCTGGGTCGTGCCTTCAGTTTCTGCGGGACCGGGTTCGGTTGTTTTGGGAGCACTATAGCGTTCTCAGACATTCCCAGTTTGAGTCCCGAATCTGTCGGTTTCGATATGAATTATCTCTGTACCTGTGTCGTCATATAGTTTCGTTTAATCACGGGACAGATGATTTAGTGTTACTAGTCTAACTACACAATACAAATTGTCCCCGTTTTGTGACGGCGCTACATAAGTATATGGAACACCACCAGGCGGTGCTCCAGTCTTTGACGTCCCAGAGAACCTCCAGTTCATAAAAAGAATGAACAAAGGCCACCTTAACACCGCTGCTTGAAATGTCGATGAATTGTTTAATCACCAATTCTTCAGGTGAACACCAGAAGAACGAAGAAGCGCGATATCTGTTAATATTTTTTTTTTATATTCTCGTAAACCAACTTGCCTCCTTCAAGGCGTTAAATCCTACAACCGAAGGCCCTCGTTAAATGTCCAACCTTTTTGTCCGTGTAGCATGTATGCTTTCTAGCACTGGTCGCGTGAGCAAGCTCGAGAGGCTTGCAAAAACGGAGTCACCAGAAGTCGCTTGAGACGCCAGCAGCACTCAATGTTTGTAAGCAGCAAAAGGGTCTCTAGTCACTCGCAAGGAGAGAAGGGCAGGGCGGTTTTTCGGAACGCGCGGACGCCAGCAAGCGCTCACTGCCTTCCACCATGCTTTGCCTGGGCGTGCGCGCTCGAGTTTCACAAGACACCGAAGCGCTATCGAAGGTCGGAAGCTCACGCTGGAGGCGGGACAACTGAAACTCCTCCCTGTTATTATCATCCTGTCAATTTGTCTAGAGTGTCTGGGCTCAATATAACTTATCTTTAATTTTCGCAGAATGGCTTAATATAATACTTTCTTGAAATTGATAATATTTATCATTCAACCGGCTTAAGGGGGGAGCTGCTGTTGTCGCTTCAAATTGGAGATTACGCGTACAGAAAGAAGCATGTCGGCCGCCATGTTACCCTTTTCGTTGTAGAAAAAAAACGACAACAAAAAACCACGTTCCTTCAGTTTGTTGAGGATGGCTTCACTGCAATATCGATCGTAATGCGGGGAAACCGGCTTAGTGCGGGCTTGCAACCGGTATATTAATTTAGAGAAGATGATCATGTTTCCGCCGGCGACGACAGTACGTCGTGAGTATTACCCTGCCTTGCGTACGGAAATTTATTATTAATTTTTGCGCAATAAGACACGCATGAATAAAACTGCGGTCATAGTTGATGTGCTAGCAGCGGCAAATAACACAATAATCGTTTATCCAGTTTCTTAATTTTATAAATTAAGACGTTGAGTAGGCGTGTTCTTTTTTTCCGGCACCTACTTTTTGCTGCGCTGTTTCAAGTGAAGTTAAGTGAAGTTAAACCCTTTAAGTAAAACCAGTAAAATAATGCGATCGATACGTGGTAAAGAACACTTTGCCTGTTCACAGCCGATGTTCCCTCTTCAACTCGAGGCACTTTGCCGTCTTAATCTCGTATGTATGTGCCTTATTGTCCAGCAAAAAGCCCCAATTTGGAGCCAAGTTGCTCTTTTATACTTCCTAGAAATTTGAGCTAGTGAATATCGGTGCAAAACGCTGTTAATAGCTTTTTTTTTTTTTTAGCATGAGTCGTTTGATTGCAAACTAGGTATCGGTGCAAATGTCTTTCTCGTGAAACATTGCGAAGGCGCAGCAAGTGCCAAAGCTGATTGTAAGTTTATACCTTAACAGAGATTAAAGTAAAGTTATTATTATTACACGTAAACAAATATAGTGGTAGACGTCGATTCTACATTGGTCCCTTAAATGACCTTGGCCTTTTAATAACATTTGGTTCCTCCGTGACATTCCATTTGGTCTGTATTGGCAATCAGCACACAGTCGCAAGAGCAAAGAACTCGATTTACTTATGTATAAACTGCAGTTTATATCTCCCTTTCCTCCTCCCGATCCTTGAGGAAACCACGACGTAGCGACATTATCAGTCAATTGAGACCTTTGCTTTTCTACGAGAATATGTACGCACACCATCTCGGCTACGTAGATTCACTATTAAGTTGGACAGACAACCAAGGTTTCCTCTAGTTCAATTGGGAGTAAGCAATAAAGACTTGACTGTGAAGTAGCCAATAACTTCGCCAACTTGCCCCCCCCCCCCCCCCCCCCCCGCCCTCCGAAAAAAAAGAAAAGAAATCTTGCAGATGTATAACACAAGGAGTCCGCGTGAAAAATAACTGGAGCAAAACTCGAAACACACGTACTGCCTAATCATAGTTATAAGGAGACAGAGGAATTCGTAGATTAGACAACTGGCTTCTCATATGTACGTACCAACCGAAAACAGTCTTTAAAGAAACGCGCTGCGCATCCGATATATCCTGTTATTACTAGTTTTCTATCCGGTGGTTAAGTTACCTTACCGACAGAACCTTGTTCTTGATTATGATGCAATTTTAATTACGTCACGGATTTCCGTCTGGTTGCTTCTGAATTGCTCGCATTACTCATTTATCCTCTGATGCGCAACTAATAAAAAAAAAAAAAAATAAGTCTTCGTTGCTAGCGTGTCTCGGAGTTATATATCGTCGGGTTAGCGTAGCTCCTCCGAACGTCTGTATGAAGCGAACGCGCTTTTTCCCGTGTTGTGTGTAACATGACGGCTCCTTTTCTCTCTCGGCGCTGGGATCTTCTTTCACCTGCTTCGCTATATAGTCAAAGATGAAGCAAGATGCGCGGGAGGAAGAGAGGGCTTCCATGAAAAGGTTTCAAGCAAAGCTGGGAGTGCGCTTTTGAATGCGTTCAGATCCATTTACGCGCACGTACCAGCCATCTTTTTTTGTCTGTTTTTTTTTTTTTCTGTTTGTAAAGGAAGGTTGTGCACCGTTGGCTGACTACGATGCTGTCCGCATTGCTGTCTCGGGAAGTTGAAAATGAACCTGGGGCAGTTCAGGGTGCTTTCGGGGTGTGAAAGAAGTGCTGCGAAGACTCGGCTACAAATGAAAAAAAAAATATGAATAAAAACAAAATGCAAAAGAGAGCGCGAAGTGTTGGCCTTTGGTGGAGGCGCATCTAAATGCGAAACGCATTAAGGAAATTTCGAGAACGTGTATTTTCCACGTTTTCTTGTTTTTATTTCTCGCTTTTTTATACAGATATATATATATTTTTTAAGATCTTGTTTGGTGGAGGATGAAAGGAAACGAATCGCAGAGTCGTTTCGAAAAGAGAACAGAAAAACGAAAAATCGGGAAGAGGTATTGTTGACGAAAGAACCCCCGCGAAAATGTCGCGGGAAATTAAACGAATGCTGAAAGGTCCTAGCGTTGTGCGAGGAAGAAAAGCCGCCGCAATAAGAAACAAAAAGGAAAACTAGATAAACTCGACGGAACGCAAGTTAGAGAACCGAGAGCGTGTTTCCTGAGGCGGCTTGAAAAGAGCATGTTTGGTCTTCTAGCCTGAAGGCATACGATCTGTAAAGCTGAGAAGCGAGACACATTTTGTTTGTCCCTGTATTTAATATTACGATCCAGCTATTTTCGGCGCTCGCGAATAATGGAAACCTTATTCGAAGCCTAGAGGAAGAAAAGAGAACAGATGAACAGATATATTCTTCAATTATAATCGCACGTTCCGCTTCTGCCCGTTTTGCTTCTTGAAAATTTTAAGATGTGCAGTACAACGCAGTCAAACGTGAAAACAGCGCAAAAAACTGAACAAAGGACAAGTGAAAGAAGTGCACGGACAAAGTACAACGTAGGACTGACGCTGGTTTGAACCAATTTCAGTCGCCGTTGTTGCCCGCTTCTTTGCACGAATCTCTGTTTACTAAGCGCCACGCCAAGGAAACATCCAGTATGCCATAAACACCCTCCCTCTTTGACGTCTTGCTATTCAACATTAATTACTGTGATGTTTGGTTATTACGAATACCTCCGTTCTCCGAAAATATTGTCCAAAATGCGAGTGGTCCATAATAACGAGACAATAACGCGTGTATTTACCCGATTCATCCCTTCAAATGTTGTCTGTAATGTTCATATGAACGAGATACGTATTAACGAGACACGACGGGAAACAGGTTGGGGCTTCATCCTTTGTGTTCCAGCTTTAACTCTAAGCTAATGGCGCACTGTGGTTTAGATAGACTTCCTTGTTCCTTTCCCTGTTGTCGGGTTTGCCTAATTTTTCTTTCTCTCTGTTTGCAGATAGAAGACGCAATGCTGATGTTCGACAAGCAGACAAACCGGCACAGGGGTGAGTGTCTTATATTTTACTTCTCGCGCGCCGTTGAAGGGCCGACCTGCCGAATCATTTTGAGCCAGGCTCTTCTTTCTTCTTCGCCTTGTGTTTCTGAGTTTTCAGAAGAAAATGACCCACGTTGGGAACCTACGTTCAAGGTGCTCGATGAATAGAGAGCCTGTGTTCAGCCGTAATAGAGACAAAATAAGCGGGCTCATCCTTTGGGCAAGTCATTCAGGAGGACGCCCACTGTATACCTGGTCACCGACGGTTTCGGCAGATGCTCCTTCGTGCAAAAGTGTCCAATATTTTCCAATATGGACCCATTTTTCGCGCCTTTCGGATTTCTATTCTCCGGACACCTCATTGTCAAAACGCATTCCGGCTTCGGCATGAACGTATTGTTGTTCATGGGATTTGACTCTGTGTCAAATCATTTTTGATTTGGCTGCGGTAAGGTAAATTACACCGAAACACCCGGTATTGTGCTTACTAGATTGCGAAAAGCTGAAGACTAAAATCTCGCAAGTTTTGTTTTCTTTTAACGCGATAGCGTTAAGGAGCTTGTGAAGCAGAAAAACCGGCGTCGGTGATGTGACGACAAAATTGCGGACGCAAAAATCGGGATTGGTAAATAGGGTCATGACGTCACAGCTACTTGACTACGCGCAGGAATTTCAAACAACACACAATGCTCACGGGAAACATGACGTCACGCGTGAAATAAGAGTGATTAAAAACATGACATGTAATGCGAAATAGAGGTAGCCGCATGTATCAAATGATTTCACTTTGGAAAGTAATTTATTTGCCTTAAAAAATTGGAAGAATTTTACGCGGAATTCTAACCCACGACCCTTCGGTTGAGAGCCGGACACGCTACTGCCGGGCGCGACCAGGCCACCGTGTCCGGCTCATTGGCAGGAGGAACATGAGAGATGAATGAGAAGGCGATGCGAGCGGGGCCCGATAACGCTATCGCGTTCCACTCTTAAAGGCAAAGCTTAAGCGTACTCCGTGTTTTGTTTTGGTTTTGTTGCTGATTACCATAGTTGTCATTACAGCGATGCGATCATGTCTTGTTGACGGAACGCAGCCTTCTAGATGAAACGTCGCTGGACGTCAAGTATAAAATATGTGTCGATATACCTTTCATGGACGAAATGGGACGCTGAGTCTGCCAGCCAAAGGGGTTTTTATTGGCATATTGAAATATTCAATTAACATGAAGTTATTAACAAAAAACAACCTTGTAGTCTCTTTAATTTTTATTGTGTCTATTATTGCGGGAATATGTGCGCTTTTTAATGATAGGCCCTTATAAATTATGAAACAGAAATGACTTAGAAAAAGGCTGTTCTGGAATAATTGATGCACCGCACATCTTTGCTATATTTTTGTCTTGCAGTTCTGCGTCTTTAGGAGATTTCGCTTTTTCGGAGCGTTTCTAGGCTGGCGTACCTAAATTCACGCGGCAGCGTTTGAGAACGTTTGATTGCATTACGTCGGAATTTTACTTCGATTTACCGTGCCAATGCTTTGTATGCCGCCTGTCAAGCTAACCAATAGATTGATTGCTGTGCCGTCGCGTTTCATACGAAGCACGAATGAAGGCCTGTTTACATATTTTAGTAGTAGATTATGTTTGGTGAAAACTCACCTTGAGTTAGGACCAAGAGCCACCAAGACGTCCCTACTTAGTATGAAGCGGTGTAGCCTTGCACGCCACGTACGAAACACGCATGTCAAGGTAACTCGCGGTCGTAAGTCGCCATACCTTAGTCAAACACAGCTGCGTCAGTTGGTGTTTCCTCGCGGTCGCACCTCGTGGCAAAACGGTAAAACTCCACATAACGTTGTAAGACGCTGCACCGTCTTGGGCCAGGACACTTACGTGTACCAACGACTTTCTTCGTTAATATCCTCGTATTTGTTGAGTCGAACAGGTTGATGCATTTCGGACCTCTTATACACGTAAATGTTTGCCTGTAACAAGCTTGACCATATAGAGGGAAACTCCAATATTACACACTCGTAGTCGACCGAGTCCCATAACCCCCCCCCCCCTTTTCCGCCCCCGCCCCCCCTCCCACAGAACCAGAAATTAATATGACTACCGGAAGCCATCGTGTTATTTGTCGTTGTTTACCATGAAAATGGGTCTATAATTGTCCCCCCCCCCCCCACACACACACACGCACACACTTTCCTTCTATAAACCGGTGTTTTCAGAAAAAAGTATGTATATCAGTTGCACCTATACCTATGCACGGTCGTCGTGGAGAAACTCCATTAAAAACATCCGCATATATGGATTATGATCGAAATACATGCCCCAGCGAGGGCAAGTTTCAATTTTCTCGTCAAATAATTAAACGAGAAATATATCTCTGTGATGAATCGTCGCAGTTAGGGTCCATACTTATAGGAAAAAATACTTATAAGTCTCACCGTTGTATAAGACCGTTGCAACCAAAACTTTTGGGCAAAACAAAAGTGTCTTATACACCGGTAACTATGGTTTGATACCGACAGACATAGTTGCTGCGTTGTCCCCTTTTCCGGATGTTTTATAGCCTGCTACGGTAGCGGTTCCACGAGATAACAGACAGTTCCTGTAACCTTTATATGTTCGATGAGTACTGCAGAAATTCCTTGGGGCTGCTGCAGGCGTAAGTTCGCACTAATTTACGGGTATGTCGCAACGCGAATTGCGAGACGGCATACAGTTCATCGTAAGTATTCACGCGTACTCAACGCAAGGCGCCTCTAACGATAAATGCGGTAATGAATATCAGTCAAAGAACTCCTACACGGAGCGCACTCATCTCAAAACCAACAAACACAAAAAAATGCACACCGGCACGTGTATAGCTCCTCCGAATGGGGAAACCGGCATGTGTCGTCGTCTTCCAATAACAACGCCTTACAATCCCCTTTTCCCCATTCCACGCTCCCCATTCCTCAACCCGCCACAGGGCGAACTACGAGCACCGCGCGCCTCGCTCCTCAAATTGTTTCAACGAGGAGGAACGCTAAGCTAACAACTCGAATCGAAGGGTGGGCATGGGCCGAGGTGCTTGAAGGAACCCCCCCCCCCCCCCCCCCTCTTCCCTAATAACCAAGCAGCCTGCGTTCGATAGGCCTTCAACTGCCCACCACCGAATTGGGGAAGCGCGCGTCGGGAGGAGAGCAGGACCATTGATGGCCCCGGCTCGCGTCCCCATCTCAAGCAGGGCAGGGCTTTTCGAAACCGCTAATGGCTTAGCGAACGAAACGCCTCTAATGCCCCTCTTCCGCCGGAAGGCTTCCCGCTGCCAAGTCGGGCTAATCAGCTCTTGAAGAGCTTTGCCCGGCGCGAAACAAGGCGCTCGGGATTAGACGGCGCGAGAGAAACTTCTGCGTATTCTCTCGGGTGCGCGCGGACGCACGTAAGACGCGTGCCGACGGCGTCCGTTTTCAACGCTGTGAGGCCATGCGTTCCTTTTGGGGCTGCCCCTTGCTGCTGCTGCTCTTTAAAGGACTTCGGAGAGAGTGTACTTGTATCGAACCACGTAGCCGCCGCCGCTTTTCATGTGTGCGGGACACTGCCGTGCCTGTACCAGCCGTGTTCCTTCGAAAGACGGTGGACTTATTAGCGTCCTTAATATTCTCCTTATCAATTGTTTTACCCATCCATTTTTTTCTTTAGTTTAGTTCAGAGGTTAAGCGGGTGCCATATTTTTACGTGCTTCTTTTTCTTTCCGGCTTAGCTGGCAATTAAAGAACGTACTTTGAATCCTTGATTTTTATTTTCGTTTTAAGGCGTGCTTTGGGGCGTTAAGCTGTTTAAGGGTTCGCGTTTTAAGGAGACAAACTTGCAGCAGTTTTTTTCTTTCGAACCCCGCGATGTGAGCGAAACACCCTAATGCCTGTACAAGCAAAAAAAAAAAAAAAAATAATAATAATAAAAAAAAATATTCTCCGTGGCTCGTATTGCCTCGATTTTATGTGTATGGAGCAATGACTACAACATTGCATAGCTGCAATTAGCTGTCGAGTCGTGTTCATTTCTGTAATTTGGTCACTTGGGAAGGAGGAAAAAAACGAGCGAGAAAAAAAGGAGAGAAAAAAGACGGCTCCACTTGTTCCATAAGCGTCGTTTTCAATGCAAATACTCGCTTGACGTCCGAAGGTTCGTCTTTTCGCGCTATAAATACAAAATAACACAAAAAAAAAAAAAGAACGCGGGAGAAACGGGAAGAGACGCGTATGCAGGCCGGCGGAAGTTATTAAAAGCTTAAAGGACGACCGTCGTATAATTGTCTGTTCCGTCTCGCGGTTCCATCTCCTCGAGATTTAGCTAGAATAGGGAGACGAAAAAGCACGGGGGAAAAGGGGAATTTTACCCTTCTGCTCCCCTTCCCTAGAGGCAAAAAAAAAAATTAATACAAGTATTAAAAAAAATATGTGAGAGTCAGGGCCGAACGCGGTCGACTAGAACATTCAACGAGACGGGGTGCAAAAGTTAGTCTTCCGCGCGTTTATTACGGCTATCTGCGGTGTTACTTTTTTTGTTCTTGCTTCCATCCTCTTCTTCTCCTCGTTCTTTTCTCAGTTGTCTTGTTCCGTTTTTCTTTTTTCGTACGCACGTACGCCGAGCGAACGAAAGCGGTCGGAGATTGCGCTGCATCAAGATTGCAGTGCCGCTGTAGCCGGAGCGGGCCCGGCGCTTGCCTCGCCCATATCCCTTTTTATTTATTTTTATTCTTGTATCCGCCTCGACCCTCGGGGGAAGATATACGACGGCAGCTTCTCCCGTTTGAGGAGGGATGAAAGGGAAAAGAAGGCGCGAAAGAGTGGAACGCCCGGCGGAAGATGGGGAGATGAACGGCCGGGGGAGGGGACTGGGCCGAAGGACGACACACCGAGAAACAAGAGCACGTAAAGTCCGCCGAAGAAGAGGCGAGAAAGCGGACGCTGCCCGGCCATCGCCGGCAAGAGACAATCGAAGGGTGCGAATCGGCTCTTCCTCC